ACAAAATTAACTGTATTGTATTCTAACTGTAGGCCTAGTGATGTTCATGGTAACTAAATGGCAACTGAAAACAACAACAAGATATTTTGTTAGTTCTGGATAAAGGAGATTATGGCACTGACAATTTTGTTTGTTTATTAGAACACTGCTACTGTACTAATTTAAAGCCCCAAGGACTGAATTATGTTGTATAATAAAACAGATCTTTTCCTGGATGGAGAATTTAAACAAGGTTGTTTAAATAATGATCAAGTTTCTGTAAAGTAGTGTTCTAGAAACCTGCCTCAGTCTCTTGCTATTTCCTCTGTAGGGGCTAGTAGCTATATTCTCTAAAATTGTGCATGTGAGTGTAAACACACACACACACACACACACACAGACACACACACACTTGTTTCTCTTGCAAAATGATTTATTGCTGTCAGACTGTGATCTGATTTTTGGTGAGCTCATCTTTTCTTTCTTCCTTGGAGCCATTTTAACTTTGTATTATTCTCCCAGCACAGACATGAGAAAATACATGCTCCCTCCTGTATTAAGAATGCTGTACTGATATTTTGCTTCTGCCAATTGCTACAGAAGTAATCAAAACTGCTCTACTCATAAGAAGACCTTTTCTGAGCAAAATAAAAACAAATTGAATGCCTCTGATCTTGCCTTGATCTTGGTATCTCACTGTGGGAAGACTACAGTATGTGCTCTCACAAGCTTGTAGGACAGATGAAAGCATTTAAGATCCCAATGGGTAGGTGAACTTCCTTTTTCTAATAATATGTTAAAGGGCCTAAGAAATTTGTCTTCGTTGCATTTGCTAACCTGCTGGTACACAACATATCCTTTCCCACAAGATCTGCTTCATATTGCATCAGTTTTCTCACAAATTCCTAGCATCCCTCAGCAATAGCTACTAAATGTTCAGGGAAGCCTCTTTAAGAAGTTCCATTAATGTACTCAGTTCAGCCACCACCTCTTTATAATATACATTTATTAAAGTCTCGTTACCCAGCATGCCTGTAACTATTTCCAAAGCTTTAGATGAAAATGAAGCTGCTGGGACTTCTTCTGTGTTTTTCTCAATCTCTTCATATTTAGTTCTCAGATCTCACCCTTTATGAGCATAAAGAGTGGCACCCAATATTCATCTTATTTCACACCATTTCCAGGGATAAGTCAGCAAAAGCCTATGGATTTCCTGAATTTACAACATGGGAACCCATATATGGAACCTTGGTCAGTGCCGAAGTCATTCCCATACACATCACTGACATTATGAGTCACATGATCATTCTATTAAATCTGTCTTCTACTAAGTGAGTTCCCCCAACCTCATTCCTGCCTCCCCATATATATAATATATTGACAAGCAAAATAAATACAGGTGGAGGGGCAAACAGCCACCTGCACTAGCTTTCACATGGGGGTGCCTGAGGGAAGGCAAAAAACATATCAGCCATTAGGGAGCAATCTCGTAGGCAAGAAAAATTACCTCCTGATCTCTGAGGACAACCGGCATATGCTTGGGGCACCAAGGCAATAAAAAGGTGGGTGCCTGCTTTGTTGTCATGCCCTTATGTATAGCAAACCAGGAAGGATAGACAATACAGCATTGGAAGATATGAGCCAAACACTTTAATCACAGATGTGTGGCCAAATGTGTGACCTTCTCCCTCCCCAGGAAGCTCTGAGGTAACAAATGCCTCATTACAGCACATGACCCCCCCCCTCCGCCAGTAAGCTGTCATGCAAGGAAGGGCATTTCTGCACACAGAAGGAAATTAACCCTCAGACAGCAACAGCCCACCAAAGGTTCCAATATGCATTTCCATACATTCCTTTAGTCAGTAACACTTTTAACTGAAACAATGAAATTATTTCCCTCTTGCATTTATGGACAGCATATTGGGGCTCCAGCCACTGAGAATTCTTTCTCCAATGGCTAGAACATATTTTTCTCTGCAAATACAGACAAACCCTGGAAAGCAAATATTAACAATGCATATAACATAGAAAACAGAAATAAATAAATTCTACATGGAAAAAAAACTAGATTGTAGCCACACATCGCTATAATGAATGAACAATACTGTTTCCTCAGATGGACTAGTCAATAAGTTCATCAGTAAATACTCAGAATGTGCACAGCAGTCCTCAAAAGCTTTATATTCTGAAAAATTCTCTTCCATACATAGAAGGAAGAGAGTAAAATGCATATTATTCTCTAAAATGCAATATATCAGCTAAATAAGGTATGAGAAAGGTTCCATATCATTAAATAACTTCTTAAAACATAGTTTCCATAGTTCAGAATGAGCCATATATGCTTTTTAAAACATAATTTCCACATTAGTAACACACAATTTAACTAATGGATTGAATATGGAGTAAGAATGACAGAGCAAAAGTAGATAATTGCATACAATATATTGTGCATTAAGATTGAAAGGCCTAATGTAAATCAGAAATAAAAACAGAATGATGTCATTCAAACAAATGAAGAAAAATTAGACATTATTTTCAAGTAAATTAACTCTCTTCCTCTTTCTGTTGAGCAACTGCATTTGACAGAAATTACATAAAGAAGAAAAGACTACTAAACATGAATATTCACCCAAACCAATATGAGAAAATATGGAAGTAATTAAGAAGAGGGGAAAAAAGCAATTGAAAAGCTCTTTTCATGTTCATGATAAACCACAGCCATACACTTCTATATACCTGTATACTGGGTTAATCCAAATATGAATTGTGACTATTCCCTTTTCATATGGAAAAGGCTGACCAACATCCCACTAACAGCTCTCCTCCCCATAATATGTTATAGTCTTGCAGCTTATAACCCCCCTGTGTGCTGAAAGCTCTTTCAGGATGAGCTACTTTACGTTTTTCATGTTTTAACAGGAATTTCCTATTTGAATTAGCCGTTTGGAAGCACACAGTAATAAACAGACGTTTGTTATTTCTTCTAATGTGTTTATATTTGTTTGCTTCATAAACTGTATATTAGATAATCAATTATTTTATTTCACTTGTGTCCCCAAACTCTAACAGAAAACCAATGACATCTTATCAAACACGGAAAATAAACTAACAGAAATCAATAGTTTTATCTTTGTGTTGATCACAGTGACATGACACAATAGGAAAAGAGACCGGTTCACTGTGAGACCTGCTACTCACTCTCTTACAGTGTAACGGCCCCCCTTCCAATTGCACATTACGGGAAGGATCCACAACAGCAGGGTATCACATAGACTCTAGAAAGCCTTGCCACCTGCTGTGCCCATGATGATTATGTTAAAAAAGGACAGGAAAATAGCATACCACTTCCAAGGCCATATTTCAGGTAGCTGTCACTGTAATCTAGTGCAAATACTAACCTCCCATTGCTTTCTGTATACTTTGCACCAATCTCCCATAAAATGTCCCAGCGTCATTCACATATCAATAATTCCAATAATTCTGCCCAGTTTTGATACAGCATTTGAAAGGACTGGTGCTTTGATGATGTAGAGCCTTATGTTGCCTTACAGGACAAGAATATTGGTTAAATATTTTGAATTGAAGAACTTTTTAGAAGTGAGACTGAAGGAACTACATACAGTAGATTTAGAAAATTATCCCTGAAGTCAAAGGGATAATAGGGGTAAAAGAGAGAGAGGGGGGAAGGGAGGGAGAGGGAGATGAATTAAAACCAATCAAGCATCTACGTAAGAAAGGGAATACAGTGGTACCTTGACTTACGAACATCTCTAATTATGAACATTGTGACTTACAAACATCTCCAGTCGCAACTTTTTGCTTCAACTTGCGGAGCTTCCACTTACGAACAGAAACAGGCAGGGGAAAAAGGCGGGCAATTCAAATTTCTAACTGTATGTGGCACTGAGGCTGCTTCTCTGTGCTGTAGCTCTTTTGGAAGTTATAGGGTGTGTCGCAGTTAGAGGCTTGGGAGAGCCTCCTGCTTTGGAGTGAGCTTGTGTGTGTGTCTGCAGGGAGACAAGCTGCTGTTTTCTCCTTTAAAAATAACTGTTCTGAGCGGGTTTTGGTGGCTGTGCTTCAGAGTGTGTGTGTGTGTGTGTGTGTGTGTGTGCGTGTGTGTGTGTGTGTGTGTGTGTGTGTGTGTGTGTGTGTGTGTGTGGTGTGTGTGTGTGTGTGTGTGTGTGTGTGTGTGTGTGTGTGTGTGTGTGTGTGCAGGGAGGGTTTGTTACTGTGCTCTGCTTCGGAGCGAGTGAGTGTGTGTGTATTTTTTGGAGGTTCCCCCCCTTCATAAACCTTAGCAACAGAGGTGGCTCTAGTTTTTTTCTTAAAGCCTCAGCAACGGAGCACCTTCCGACTGGGCTTGCTGTGCTCTTTTTAATTTTTTGGTTATTTTTTTCCTCTGGACAGCGGGGGGGGGGAAGCCGTAGCTGCTGACCGGAGTGAGGAACGCTCCGGAGGAGCAGGAGGAGGTGAGCGCTTCCCAGCCAGGTCTCTGGCCCCGGCCCCATTCACTTCGGCCAGCCTTTGAGGTTCCCTTTCTCTCCTGGGTTTTGTTTTGTTTTTTGCAGCCCCAGTGTGTTCCTATGGGGCTTGCAGTGTTTTATTTTTTTATTTTTTGGGTATTTTTTTCTTCGACCAGAATGGATTAATTGGTTTTCAATGCATTCCTATGGGAAATGGTGCTTCGATTTACAAATGTTTCAAGTTATGGACACTGTTCCAATATGGATTAAGTTCGTAAATTGAGGTACCTCTGTACTGTACATTCTCCCTCCTTTATTCTCAGATTAGAGTAGGGGATATTTTTTCACAGCAGACCACTACATATCTCTTGATTCCTAGTGACACCCTGTTTGTTCTGAATAATACATATACACTTAATAATGTACCACAGGGCCTTTTTAAAATAAATAATCAGGAGCAAAAGCTCTTCTCTTCCACATTGCTCAAAAGTGGTATGTATGAGTTTGTGAAGACACATGAATAATCTGGTTGAAGACTGAAATAACAGAAGTCAATACCTGTTTGCTGGGTTGTCTGTGGTATCTGTGGACTTCGCTGGGTATTGTATTGAACTGAGGCGATGTGTCTGTACTGCTGAGTTGCTGAGGTAGGGTATTGACCAGATGGGTAGTAATACACAGGCATCTATGGAAAACAAAGAAGACTAAGAATGTATTGTGATATATTTGAAGTTGTACCACAAAGCACACACAATATCCTAAAATATGAAAGGCAGAAAGTTATATCCTCTTAAGCTTATAACATCTTCTGATAATCTAGGAAAAAGCTGCACAAAGGCTGTTTGTTAAGACACATGGGAAATGTTCTAATAAGTGGAATGCTATGCATTCACATATATCATATTAAATAATTTAAAAATACCAAACACGAACACAGAAAAAAAATGTAAGGAACTGATGCAAGGAAGTGTTTGAAATGAGTAATTCTTTAGGTTTGTCATGATTTCAGAAAGATATTCTTAAAAAAAAACAGTGCAGTTATATAAAAATGAAGAAGTTATATAAAAAGAAGACAACATAATGCTCAGAACTACAAGATGTGAACTTCTCCATGGACACACTGTGATTACAAAGGGGGGAAAATGAGAACCCAAAGGAGTCCGGGGAGAAGAGCCAAATTTGCTGCTGTGGTGACTCACCGTAAAAGCAAGGAAATGACTTACAAACCCTACTTACAGCAATCAATCCTTCCAAGCAAGAATATTGCAACAAGTGATTGATGAAAGGACAAAAGTTATATTCACAGCCTTCTCCTAAGAGTTCATGAACAAATGCTGCCTGTGCTCTTTCTTTTTTGATGTTTTTATGCCAGTTTCTGAGGTCACACGAACTGATTTACTCATTTAAGTGCAAACAATGATATTTGGTATGGTAGTGAATTTATTTATTTATTTATTTATTTATTTATTTATTTATTTATTTATTTATTTATTTATTTATTTATTTAACTTATGTGCTGCCCACTCTCTACCCAAAGGTCTCTGGGTGGCTTTGTTGTTATTTAGTCGTGTACGACTCTTCGTGACCCCATGGACCAGAGCATGCCAGGCCCTCCTGTCTTCCACTGCCCTCCTGGAGTTTGGTCAAATTCATGTTGGTAGCTTGGCTGACACTGTCCAACCATCTCGTCCTCTGTCGTCCCCTTCTCCTCTTGCCTTCACACTTTCCTAACATCAGGGTCTTTTCCAGGGAGTCTTCTCTTCTCATGAGATGGCCAAAGTATTGGAGCCTCAGCTTCAGGATCTGTCCTTCCAGTGAGCACTCAGGGTTGATTTCCTTCAGAATGGATAGGTTTGTTCTCTTTTCAGTCCAGGGGATTCTCAAGAGTCTCCTCCAGCACCACAATTCAAAAGCATCAATTCTTCGGTGGTCAGCCTTCTTTATGGTCCAGCTTTCACTTCCGTATATCGCTACAGGAAAAACCATAGCTTTGACTATTCAGGCTTTTGTTGGCAAGGTGATGTCTTTGCTTTTTAAGATGCTGTTGAGGTTTGTCATCGCTTTGAACAATTAAAATACAATAAAAAGATAAAACAATTAAAATGCAATTAAAATAGATACTCTAAAAATTGCCATGAGGACCCACAGCTGATATTATTTCAATTAAAAGCCTTCTGTAACAGAAAGGTTTTGACCTGGTGCTGAAATGTTATCAGCATTGGCGCCAGACAAATCTCGGGAGGGCATTCCATAGTCTGGGGGCAGCTGCCGAAAAGGCCCTTTGTCTGTAAGCCATCCCTCTTGCCTCCTTGAGGGACGGCTCTTTCAAAAGGGCCCCTTGGCTAGATCTTAACTGCCGGGTAGGCTGATATGGAAGGAGGCGGCCCTTCAAGTATCCAGGGCCCAAGCTATTTAGGGCTTTATATATCAAAACAAGCACTTTGAATTGGGCCCAGGCAGCAACAGGTAACCAATGTAATTTAATCAGAATTGCCTTGATACGTCCCCTAACAACAAATGCTTAGGATGCAGAGGTTATGTGCATACATTCAGCTTTTATCCTGGCTGAGGTCTGATTAAATCTAGTATCTAAGTGCACAAGGTGGCATAGTAGATTTTTCAAAGCAAGGTGTAGATTATTTTCCTTTTCATTTCTAACAATGATCCTGGTGCACTGGCCTCCAGCTCAAATTCAATCTTATCAGAGAATATCACATAAAAGAATGGTTTCAATATAGTAACAGCAATAATAAATAATGATTTCATAATCATATATTTATCACATCCAGAGAATCTGGAAGTGGGGGGCATTGTCTCAAGGGGGATGGAACAACTGGGAGAATTTGCTGCAGCCGATAGCGATGAAAGCACATCAGTGACAAGGTGATGGTTGAAGACACGGACCTAACTAATTCTGGAGTAACAGGCACAGCTCAGCACAAAGTTTAGCCATAAAGGCAGAAAAATACCTGGAAAAGGGTCTGAATTTCTGAAGCCCTGCAAAGGGAGAATACTTAGATTAGAAGATAACTGCAAATAACAGTGTCTGAAAGATTCGTAGTTTTGCCCCAAAGGGCTGCAGGCTCAATCCACTGCATTTCCTAATAGGAGTAGGAAAGAATCCTGCTAGAAACCCTGAAGAGCAGCTGCTGAATCAGTGCCAACAATGCTGGGCTAGAAAGGTCAACGGTGTATCTCCTATCCTGCAGTAAAAAATGAGCTCTTGCTACATTTGTCTGAAAATGACAGATATCTATGTAGCCTTGCAATATTATATAGGTCCACTTAGAGTCAAGTTCCTTTGAGTTCAGTGACATTTATTCCCAGGAAAGTGAATAGAAGATTGCAACTTAAAAGTCTCCCTAGAAAGGTCAGATCCTGGGATATAACTTGGAATTGGATTTAAAGATGCCATGGGCCATAGGGTTTTGCATAAGTTAACCATGCTGGGACAAACCATTGGGGCAGTGGGACAGAGGGTAGCTGGCTTTCCAGTCTGCATAAGATTTTATTAAGGCAGAACTGAAGGAGGAATAAAAAGCAGCAATTACTTAAAATAATACAAAATTAATCACACTCCTATTATTTTAGCCATTTAATCTTAACCCTTTTATACAGATTAGTAACAACTGTGTGGGAAAGTAGAGCAAGGCCTTGTTTGCTGTACCCAATCCCTCACTTCCATCGCCTCCAGTGCCCATTCCCTGTCTCCATCAGGTTCCAGTTTGTAGGTCTCAGGGTTCTAGTGTAAAGCCAAGTATATCCCATAAACATTACGGTGCAGGGATAGCAAACCTTTGGAACTCCAGATATTATTTACTACAGTTCTCACATCCTTTATCACTAGTGATACAGGCTGGGGATTGTAGCCTAAAACATCTGGACTGGCACTGAAGGTTGGTGAGGCATATTTCATATGGTATGGGCTTCAAAATTCAACAGGAGCAAATGTTTTGGGGGCATAACACCAATCTCTGGCAGCATGATACATGTTGCTCCTGATACTAACTGTTTTTTGTTGGTTTTCAAAATGTGAGTGTATATGCATGTGAAAAGAGAAGAAATAAACTACAGAGATTTCTCCTCATAGCAAAGTTAGTTGCCTCAGCCTGCGAAACTTATTATTCTTCCTTGTCATCTGGGTGATGATATATGTTCCCAGTTTTGATCTAAGGCAGAGAACTGCTGTGATTAGAGTCAGAGGACAACTCACCCCGAAATGGCAGGATGCCCCCCTTTAACAATGAACTGCCAGTAACCCCTGAGTGTCTGTCTGTAAAACTTTATTATAGCCACTGGCAATTAAAACCATGAATGTATACATATACATTAAAAATGCACAATAATATGATATAATAGTAAAGGTTGTACATCTGATAAGCTATGTAGACTCTAATCAGCTTTATATCCTATACCATATCTTTAGTACTTCCTATCCTATCCTTATTATTTAGCCATTTACAGTATCCCTTAGTTTCCAAACAACTTCAGGTGTTCAAAATGCATGATCCAATATTGCTTGAATCAAATTAAGACAAGAACCTCTTATTCACATATGTATGCAGCAAACAGAGTAAAGGAAAGAAACATAATTCCTGAATTAGAATTAATTTTGCCTTGATTCTAATTCAGGAACATTAGGATTTATAATAGTTTTCTATAGGAAGAGATTGAAATTCAAGTTAATCTATGGAGCTACAAGCTGTAGGAACTTGGTGCATAATTTGGGGTATTATTATTGTCAAAGTTTTGTGATTTTTCACCCTCCACAGAAGAGATTCCCTTGAAAATCATAAAGTCACTTTTTGGAGGCATTACTTGCCCCATTCTTCCCACTCATTCAGAGTTTTGTCACATAGCTTATTGATTGGTTTGGTATTGTCAGCCTTCCATAAACATAGATGCACCATCTGAACTTCAGCCAGTATATTATAAATACTAAATACTATACGAAGACCCCTCTTAGTTAATCACAGAAGCCATGAAAGAGGTTGTGGGTCAGATACTTTGATACAAGTTTCTGTGAGCAATGACACTGCTTGTTGTTATTGTGATGGCTAAAACCATTAAATAATAAGTGGAGAAAGAAGTTCAAGACCAGAGGCTGTGTCTCATATTTTTCTGAAGCAGGGGTAGCAAAGTGGGAATTTCTTTTCCATAGAAAATGAAAATCAGACTGTACTAGGTATTTTCTAGTCATCAGCTTGCTACAGAGAATTGTCACAGAACAATCAGATAAGAGTATGGACCCTGAAAAAGAATGCCTGTTAAGCTTCAAAAAAGGATATATCAATAAGACCGAAACAGTGCTGGGCTGTAGGAAAAATAAAATAAAGAACAAAGCTGCCCAGCCTTCTTACATGTGCCACTTCTTAAATCTATTTGCTCCTTCTTTGATAGAAAATGGGAAACAGAGCTTTAGTAGGCAGCTGTGAAGGCAGTTTTAATTAAACTTTAATACATTAACATGTGATATCTTTAGACTCTTGAGTTCAGCAAACTTAATTTTTTCCCATTCAAAGATAATCCCACACTGACTGGACATGCTCACTTATTTCCTATTGTCAGCTGCATTCCCGAAGACTGGACCTGAGAGAAAAGAAGCCCCTTGGCTCTTACAGTTACAGAAACTAATTAGACATTTATACACAAGTTTCGCTGCTATAACGTCAAATCTGCAACCAAGACTCCACAGTACAATAAATGATTATATTCTGCAGATGATTAAATTAAGTAGTGTAAATACATTTTACTGGCTTTGTCTTCATAAATAATGACTATAAATCAACTTGAGGAACCTTGGACTGTCGTTCAAATCTACTTTACAATATAACTAAGGAGCCAAGATGATAACAAATTAGCTAATTAAAGGGATGTGGTGGTGCTGCGGATTAAACCACGTAAGGTTTTGTGTTGTATGGTCAGAAGACCAGCAGTCGTAAGATCGAATCCACGTGACAGAGTAAGCTCCAGTGCTTGTCCCAGCTCCTGCCAACCTAGCAGTTCAAAAGCATGTAAAAATGCAAGTAGATAAATAGGGACCACCTCGGTGGGAACATAAAATGGCGTTCCGTGTCTAGTCGCGCTGGTCACGTGACCACGGAAACTGTCTTCAGACAAATGCTGGCTCTATGGCTTGGAAAACAGGGACGAGCACCGCGCCCTAGTCGGACACAACTGGATTAAATGTCAAGGGGAACCTTAACCTTTAACTCCACTAGCTCAACAGGGAAATGGAAAACATTGTTCTAAATGCACAGTACTGATTTAAACTTTCTGCATTCTTAGTCATCTGTGGAATTTATGGAATTTATCTATAACCTGGTTTATTATTCTTCAGCTTCAAAGAAGTTGTAGCTGCAAAAAATTAAAATAAATGTCCTTTGTATTGCAGAACTCATTGCTTCTAATACATACAAAACGCCCTGAGACGTATTAGGGCAGGTTGATAAGTTCCTTACATTTCATGTTAGAAGTGGCAGCCATGGAAAACGGTAGATGGGTAGTTGTACATTATTGAGGCAATACATGGAAAAATACATCCAGAAAGGTTTTTTCCCCTCAATTCTGCCTCAGTAACATGAAAGTCTATCACAAACAAACAAACAAAATGCAAAAACAATAACCCAGTCATGTTGATCTATGGGAACAAAACAAAACAAGAACAACCCATCTCACCCCCCAAAAAACACCCCTCCCAAACTACATCGGCAATGCATTTTTTCGGATCAACTAAATTCACAAAATATGTAAGCTTTTGAGCCCTCCAGAAGTTCTTATTTGGTTGAGTGGTTAAAAGGGAAGGGGCAATTGGAAAAAAAAGATGTGATAACTGCATGAGTATTGCAGACTCAGTTACATTCTTAATATCCATGGTTTAAAACATGTAGCCAAATATTTGGGCTGCAATACCTTCTTCCATTTCCCCATTATTGATGATGATGATTATGATGATGATGATGACATTTAGCTGAGGGCGGGCAAGGGGTCGCTGAAGTACAACTCCAAACAACCCTAGACATAACCAAAGGTGACGGATGCTGGGAATTTCAGTCCAACATCATCTAGAGGGCCACCCCATGCCCAGCCGTGATACAGCCCAATGAAAAGTTTTGAAAAAAAGGAAAGCTTGCATAATTTATTGACCTACAAACAAGTTTAATAGAATATTTTATTTCTGTGGATATGTGATTTGATGAACATCTATGTGTGTCCAGGTGGAAGAAAGATTGTATATCATGTATAGAAGGCAAACATTTACTGACCCATTTTCTACTGTGAAAATTAGAGAATATCATAATCAGAATTGTATCACACTATTGTAATATTCCCATGGGTCCTAGAATATCTGTCTTAGAATATCTGTCAGGTGTCAACTGTTTGCCATAAGTGTAGATGCTGGAGATGTTTAAGTAGTAAAGTCTGAGAGAGAGAAAGGAAATGAGACTGGTAAGATTTAGGGAAAATAACTCATTTTATGGTAATCTGGTAATATGGTAAAATTGAAATTGTAATTGTAATTTTATGATTTTACATATTTTTATACTGTTCTGTTTTATTTTGTAAGCCGCCCCGAGTAGACATGGTCTAGAGGGGCGGGGTAAAAATCAAATAAATAAATAAATAAATAAATAAACTCACTAGAACTCCCATGTTGGTGGACAGCTTTTTGCACAAAATGCTTTCTTTCCCTTTTCTCCCCACCAAATCCATGCAGTTTGCACAATTCAAACAATCACACTAATTGTATGAACTGCTCTGCTATTTTAAGAATCTGATGCACTAGATATGATGTTTAAATATTCATTGAATATTTAAGAAATATCTGTCAGTCCTTCTATGCTTCTATGTATCTGTGTATATGTGCATGTGTTCATGTGCATGCCCACACACAGAAATAACTCCTTGCCTTGTTTTCTGCTAGAGAGAAGAATTTCATGAAACTTTATAATATCTTGGTTTTTCTTCTGCAGAAAAAGCCTAGATCACTAGGAATAAAGAATTGATTATTTTTTCAGTCTTAGAATGAACACTAGAAACAAAAGTCTGAGGTCTGAGGAAGTAGACTTGTCCACAAAAGCTCACATTAATATACAACAGTGAGTCTTTAAGGTGCCACAATGTTTTTTTTTCTTTTTTCTTTTTCATTTTTCTTGCCTTATGTGCTAGCACAGACTAACGTGGTTACCTCCTCTAGAAACAAGAGTGACCTTCCACTCAATATGTGTTACATGTTGGGATTTGCAATCTGCCAGTCAGAATGTATGTAAGTATATTCAAATTCTAAAAGAGCTTCAAAGTTTCTTCAATATCTCTTCATCAGTTATGACTATGAGAATTTGCAAAATGGATGCAAGTAGGAATGTGGAAATTTATGCCAGTTTAGTTAACTTGAGAAATTAGATATGTTCACAGATCTACAGAATTTGATTTTATGAATCTTTGTGCCTTCCTTTCTTTTTGCAGTCTTACTAATTTTTAATGATCCCAGGGCATTTGGGGCTGATGTGATAAAGACAAGTGAATAAATTGATCAGGACTCTTGGCTAACAGGACTTTTAGAATTTGAATACAGCCTAAAAACCAGCATTATATTATCTTCAAGCTTTTTAATATAAACCTGAAGGATAGAACTATGTAGGCAGAAGCATGCATGTTTCTCGATAGAGGCTGAGATGAAGCACTCAGAGAACATGGTCATGGGCACACATGCTCAGCTATAGTTTAGTGAGATATATGTGACACAAAAGGAGACATTATACAAAGTTTGCTCTATCAGTTATACAAATTGAGTTAACCATCTTGGGAGGCAGATGCTGAGGATAAGCAGCAGCTGGAAGTTCTCATGAACTCTCCAGATGTCCTCTGGAGGATGGAGCAGCACATGCCACAGAGCCTGTTATACCCCAGTAAGCTATTAGATGTATTGAAGAATATCCTATTGCAAGTATCAGACTAAGATAAGGTGCAACTACTGATCCAATCAACCTCTGTATGTGGTCTGAGTCTCTCACCTTTTCCTTAAGGCAACAAAATTTCTTGGAATTACCTTGCCATATTAAGCCTGTGGCTTATGTATTCCATCTCTTCCACCTTATTCTATGCAGATGACTACATTGAAAAGCCTCTGCCATTTTAGTGCCCACTCCCAAAGTCTGGAGATATCATTTTGTAATTACCCTAAACATTATAGTAAGTAATATTTACTGTATCTGCCCTATCCCCATTACACACACAATATGTGTGTCATAATGACAGGCATCTGCTGAAGCTATTAAAAAGCAACAATCACACTTTATGTTGTAGTTTTAACTTCCGAAGCAGTGCCTTTTTGTGTGAAAAAGGGTGGAAAACCCTCTAAAGTTAATATGTGACCAAGAGGTACATAGGAGCAAAGAAAAGAAAAGAAAAGAAAGAAAAGGGTAAGACAATTGCAAGTACAGATGATACATCCTTTTCTAAACATGGATTAGCAAAATATATTTAATTTTCCCCACTTTTATTCATTTAAAAAATGAACAGCTCTTTAAACTTCTTTTTAAAAACATTGGAAGTAATATTGGATAGTTATACAAAAGAGACACCAGAACTGCAGCTCTTGAAGACATAAAAATAATCAACACAAATAAAACCATGGAAAGAATTGGTCTGTTTTTAAAAAAATGTCATGAATTTAAAACAAGTGTGTGAAAGGCAAAAACAGATAGAGCAAACTGCAAGATATCAGAATTTAAGGATACTCTTAAACTGCAGCTTGCTCTAATTTTATTTTCAAATCCAGCTTTTCCATAAAATGCATGTGATAAAAAGGGGCTAGAAAATTATGTTTGTTGCTAATAGTCACTTTCCTTATTCTCTAATGATACTCAGGAGGTAGATAGGAATGGTTGGTGGCAACCTGCACAGCCTAATCAGTCTTCAGTACGACAGTACACATTACATTTCTGCCATGTCTTGCAAGTCAAGTTCAAGTCAATTAAATATGATTCATGTCTGGTACTTCTACTAGAGGCAATGCACCAACTTTTGCCTCCGTGCACAGGGAAAGAGGGAACTATTAATGTACTGTTTATTATCCTATGTAATGATAATGTGCAGCTATATCTTGAAGCACAGCAGTGTGTTCAAATGGTTTTAAAGGGCACATTTATGTACTCACATATATTATTTGGCATCATCATTGTATCATTTGGCTGAATGTGAGCACCTGCTCCATGAAGATAATTATATCTGAGGTACTTAATTGGTGATTACTTCTTTCATATATAGAACTTCTTATGTCATTTTATAGCTGTAATGAAATGGGTGTGAACTGACCAGAAAAATGGTTGAAATCAAACCAAGAAAAACTATGGGACCAATCTGTAGAGTCTGAATACATTTGTTTCTTGATGTATCATTATTTGTCTCCAGATATACAGTTCTGTAGGTGTGGGCAACTTGTTGCTGAGCTGAGAAAATGCTGTCCTGCCATGTTTTATTTATTAATTGGCTTCTTCAGACTCTACTATCTGAAATGTTTATGCATTTAGTGCTGAAGTACTTCTGGAAAAAAAAGTCATTTTCTTAACACTATCCTCTTATAATCATTTCTTTTAAAAAAATTGCTGGTGATGAAGAAGCCACTACAAGCATACGCTTACCTGTGTAGGTGGTGGCTGCTGCACATAACCCTGTGGTGGAGGTGCAGGCTGTAGTACTTGTTGAGATACCGGTGGACCTGAACCTGTAAAACCTCCAGAAGGGAGCTGCTGGCTTGGGGATGCCATGACATAACCAGTCTGTGGGGAAGACTGTTGTAGGATAGGTGATGGGTAGACAGGGCCAGAAGGTGAATCAGGGTTGTCTCCTGATGACTGGCGACTTAAGTTCATCTGGCTAAATTGTGTTGTCATATCATCTCGCTATGAGGCAAAAGTCAGATGAAATTGATCAATAGAGATGTAAATGCATTTCTGCACACAGGGGGGTAAGACTGTTGTAGGATAGGTGATGGGTAGACAGGGCCAGAAGGTGAATCAGGGTTGTCTCCTGATGACTGGCGACTTAAGTTCATCTGGCTAAATTGTGTTGTCATATCATCTCGCTATGAGGCAAAAGTCAGATGAAATTGATCAATAGAGATGTAAATGCATTTCTGCACACAGGGAGTTTAATTTAAAAAAAGATAGGAAAAGCCCCATTCTGGAATTAAAAAAACCTCACAAAATCTGAATGAATTCTATACTAGACTTGATAGCATCAATGAGTTTTTTGTCCTTGGGACTGATTTGATCATACACTTGTATACACACATTACAAAAGTTTCACAATACCAGTCTTCAATTTTAATATAATTCTTGTCTTTCCAAAATCTAGCTATTAATATTCTAGCACCTGTCATAAAATTAGTGATTAATTCTTTCGAGTGATGGTCCAGATCTGTATTATCAAAAATTGACAATAAAGCAATTTTGGCATTAAAATCAATATCTTTACCAAATATATCACACATTTCCTTAAAAATCAATTCCCAAAATTTCTTAACCACTTTACATTCCCACCACATATGAAAATACGTACCAATTTCCTCATCACATTTCCAACATGCTTTGGAGTATGTTGGATTTATTATATTCAATTTTACAGGAGTCAAATACCACCTTAGACAGATTTTAAAAAAATTTTCCTTTATTCTTGTTGACATTAATCTTAACACTCTCATCCTCCACATTTTTGTCCAATCCTCTATTTTAATATCTGTTTTTAAATCGTTTTCCCAAATTAATTTTAAACCTTCTATTCCCCATTCTTTTTCCTCTTGTTCCAAAATTATATTATATATTTTACTTACTATTCCTTTCAAAGTTGTATCTTGCATATCTTCATGTGATGACAGAAATTGTTCGTACTTAGTAAGTTCTCTACATTTACCATTAGTTTTCAACCAATCCTTTGTCCAGGTGTCTAACTGAATAAGATTATACCATGATAGTTTATTAGATTGCAGTTTAGACATAATCAACTCCTTCGATCTCATGTTACCCATCCAGTCCTTCAATCTTGCAACCCTTTTATTCTTAAATAATTCTACTAAATCCTTTAAATTTGTAGGAAAGTTTTCTGTCTCAGTCACTAGTTTTAATGGTGAAGTTAAGGGACAAAACTTCTCTTTATATTTATTCCAAATATTTAACAGGTTTCTTAAAAAGGGGTTTTTAATCTGATTTATTGAACTTCTCTTTAGTATATTAAACAAGTATCCTTCAGCATTTCCATTTATTTCTGAAGATTCCATCTCCCACCAAATTAATTTTTCTTTATTGAATATAATATCTCCAATAACTCTTAATTGATTTGCTATATAATAATTTTTAACATTGGGCATACCTAAACCTCCTTTTTTTTGAGCCTTATACCAATATCTTTTATTTATTCTAGATTTTTTGCCTTGATTACAAAATCCATTAATTAATCCCTGCCAATATTTAAAATCCTCTTCTTCTAATCGTATTGGGAGCATCCTAAATAAAAAAGTGATCTTCGGTAATATTTTCATCTTAATTAAAGCGATTCTCCCAAACCATGATAGTTTCAATTTGGCGTACTCTTGCAATTTATCTTTAATGTCATTTTTTAATTTATTAAAATTTTTCTCTTTTAATTTTTGAGTTGTTCTAATTATGTTTATACCTAAATATTTGATAAGATTACACATTTTAACGCTATATTTATTCACAAACATGTCTTGCTCCTGTATATTATAGTTAAACATCATCATTTGTGATTTTTGCCAATTAATCCTTAAACCTGTTATTTCCCCAAATTTTTCTAAATGGTTTTTAATGTTTTCCATACTCTCTAATGGATTTTTAATAGTCAGTAAGGAATCATCAGCAAACAAATTAATTTTAATCATTTCATTTTTACCTGTTCCTTTAATTAATTTATCATTTCTTATTGCGTTAGCTAATAATTCTATAATCATGCAAAACAATATTGGTGAAAGTGGGCAGCCTTGTCTAGTACCTCGGCCTAGAAAGATCTTTTCCGTTATACCATCATTAACTATTATTTCTGAAGTATTATCTAAGTATAATTGATCTATAACACCTCTAAACTTTTTACCAAATCCCCAACCTCTTATAAGAAGTTTTAGTGTTGACCATTCAACACAATCAAAGGCTTTAAATATATCCAATGATAAAATCATTGCTTTTATTTTTTCTTTTTCTATTTCATGTATAATATTTAAAACTCGTCTAGTTAAATTGTCCATTTGTCTACCCTTAATGAAACCACATTAGAAAAATTTGGGGAAATAACAGGTTTAAGGATTAATTGGCAAAAATCACAAATGATGATGTTTAACTATAATATACAGGAGCAAGACATGTTTGTGAATAAATATAGCGTTAAAATGTGTAATCTTATCAAATATTTAGGTATAAACATAATTAGAACAACTCAAAAATTAAAAGAGAAAAATTTTAATAAATTAAAAAATGAAATTAAAGATAAATTGCAAGAGTACGCCAAATTGAAACTATCATGGTTTGGGAGAATCGCTTTAATTAAGATGAAAATATTACCGAAGATCACTTTTTTATTTAGGATGCTCCCAATACGATTAGAAGAAGAGGATTTTAAATATTGGCAGGGATTAATTAATGGATTTTGTAATCAAGGCAAAAAATCTAGAATAAATAAAAGATATTGGTATAAGGCTCAAAAAAAAGGAGGTTTAGGTATGCCCAATGTTAAAAATTATTATATAGCAAATCAATTAAGAGTTATTGGAGATATTATATTCAATAAAGAAAAATTAATTTGGTGGGAGATGGAATCTTCAGAAATAAATGGAAATGCTGAAGGATACTTGTTTAATATACTAAAGAGAAGTTCAATAAATCAGATTAAAAACCCCTTTTTAAGAAACCTGTTAAATATTTGGAATAAATATAAAGAGAAGTTTTGTCCCTTAACTTCACCATTAAAACTAGTGACTGAGACAGAAAACTTTCCTACAAATTTAAAGGATTTAGTAGAATTATTTAAGAATAAAAGGGATGCAAGATTGAAGGACTGGATGGGTAACATGAGATCGAAGGAGTTGATTATGTCTAAACTGCAATCTAATAAACTATCATGGTATAATCTTATTCAGTTAGACACCTGGACAAAGGATTGGTTGAAAACTAATGGTAAATGTAGAGAACTTACTAAGTACGAACAATTTCTGTCATCACATGAAGATATGCAAGATACAACTTTGAAAGGAATAGTAAGTAAAATATATAATATAATTTTGGAACAAGAGGAAAAAGAATGGGGAATAGAAGGTTTAAAATTAATTTGGGAAAACGATTTAAAAACAGATATTAAAATAGAGGATTGGACAAAAATGTGGAGGATGAGAGTGTTAAGATTAATGTCAACAAGAATAAAGGAAAATTTTTTTAAAATCTGTCTAAGGTGGTATTTGACTCCTGTAAAATTGAATATAATAAATCCAACATACTCCAAAGCATGTTGGAAATGTGATGAGGAAATTGGTACGTATTTTCATATGTGGTGGGAATGTAAAGTGGTTAAGAAATTTTGGGAATTGATTTTTAAGGAAATGTGTGATATATTTGGTAAAGATATTGATTTTAATGCCAAAATTGCTTTATTGTCAATTTTTGATAATACAGATCTGGACCATCACTCGAAAGAATTAATCACTAATTTTATGACAGGTGCTAGAATATTAATAGCTAGATTTTGGAAAGACAAGAAGGATATTAAAATTGAAGACTGGTATTGTGAAGTATGGGACATTGCATTAAATGATAAATTGACTATGGAACTTAAAATAAAAAGAGGGGAAATAAGATGTAACAATTTCTATGATATTTGGGGTAAATTTGTGGAATTTGTGTTAGTGAAAGGAAGGGGGAAAGCCTCTAAAGAATACTCAATACAATTTTGGAGAGGTAATCTGTAAGAAAAAAATTATTATAGTAAATAGAGTCCCGTGGGTATGGGGTGCACATTAGAATTTAGTTTATAATAAGCACTATTACTTGTATTTTTTTGTATTTTTGTTATGTATGTGTTCTTTTTTGTATTTTTTTTGTATAAAAAAAAATATTTAAAAAAAAAAAAAAAGAATCTGCATTTCCCATAGGAATGCATTGAAAACCATTTAATCTGTATCTGCTC